GGCTGGCTTTAAGCTCAGGAGTCCATGTGTGAGATGTATACAGACTTAAGAATGCTGCAGGGAAAACTAGGAGTCTTTTTGTTGCTGGTAGTGTTTTTTGCTTTATTTTAATTGGTGGATTGCTTTGGGTGGGGTAACTTCCTTAATTTTATATTGGCAGGGAAAAAATCTTTGATATATATTAGAGTTTGTTGGATATTACCTTTTTCAGTCCCCACCAGGGAAAGTAACAGCTGCAGTGATGGCTGCTATTGATGCTGGATACCGTCACTTTGATTGTGCCTATGTGTACCAAAATGAAAATGAAGTTGGGGATGGGATCCAGCAGAAAATAAAGGAAGGTGTTGTGAAACGAGAGGACCTCTTCATTGTCAGTAAGGTATGGATCTGGTGGTATAGGATCCCAGGAACCATATGGTTTTTTCATAGTAACTCCCCAGTTCTTGACTTTCCCACTCTGTGGTGCAGCATGGAACACCTCAGAACATCACTTAGGCCACTCCTGAGACAAGCTTCATACTTTGCCCCATTCTGTATGGAGAATTATGTAGGGTATGTGCCACTAACATGGGTGATGCCGTGAACTGTTCCTGGTGTGAAGTTATGCTGTCCTCTTCCATGTGGTATCTGACCTTCTAGTAGGTGGCTTTTAAGCAAAGTCGTAATGGAACCAGACTATATCTGCTGTCTGCCATGACAGTCATGTGTGCTGCCACTTGCACATATTGCCCACAGTATCACAGGCCTGTCTTGCTCACAGAGCAAGCCCTGTTTGAAAATCAGTAGGATGACCTAGTTCCACATCACCTTCCAAAGCAGACAGGCCCTCTCTTCAACAGGTCAGAAGGGTTCCAAGAGCTTTAACCCAAGAGGTCACAGTGTGCCTTGGCTTTTTGTCTCTAGCTGTGGTGCACGTTTCATGAGAAGCCTCTAGTGAAGGGAGCCTGCCAGAAGACCCTTGCTGCCCTGAAGCTGGATTACCTGGATCTCTACCTCATCCACTGGCCTCTTGGTTTTAAGGTACAGTAATGGCAATGCCCTTGGCTTTGTCTGTTGTGACTGGCAGTTTTGAAGAGCTATGTGGCTTTACAGCCCAGTAATTGCACCAACTGACACAGATCATCATGTGTCTGTTGCGTACCAGCACTGCTCTGGTGCTCAGCTTTACTCTGGTCATGTGAGCCAGGCTGTTGATCACTAACTCTGAGGTTCCTGCTTGCACAGCATCCTCTGCACGTTTGATCATGGAGGAGATAGACCTTGAACTAGGGGTGGGCTTCCCTGCTGCAAGCTTAAGTTATATTGCTCTACTTTTGATTATTGCCTATACATTGTCTTTTACAAATCCAAAGTATGCTCAACTGACAACGATGTGGCTCTTCCTTTGCGGGAAGGAGGGCTGTGCTTTGCTGTCTGACAGAAATTCTTTCCTATGCATGTTATAGAATCACAGAACAAGAGGATATTTCTGTCTTCCATTTCTGTCTTTAATCAGTGAGTCCTTAATACAGTACAGATTGAGCTGACCTTTGCTGTAGGAGCCTTAGTGTTCCACAGACCTTGGATCTCAAAAGGTGAAGCTTTTTAGTTCCTAACTCTGACTGCATGCAAAGGAACTGATGTCTCAGTTTGACTATTTCTAAGCTTAGTCTTTCTGTTAGAGCCTGATCAAAATCTTCTTTTTACTTGTTGCTTCTGAGATCAACTGCTTTTCATAGCATCTGTATTTTTAAAATTAGTTTAATATGGAAGGAACTAGCAAAGTGAAAATGTGTTGTGGTGTAATAATGTATCACTAGAAAGCAACTGGTTTTGAACAAAGTTGGTCACAGGCTGTTTTAACATTCCCTGTGCCAGCAACTTAAACAATGAGTCTCCCTGTGAAGGACTTGTCAGCAGATCTGGTCCAACATAGACTGGACATGTTCCAGGTCCTATTATACTTTTTAATAGGACCTTAAAAAGGGGTCCTTATTACACTTTTTAATAAAGCACTCTGTTACATCCTCATAAGAATTATCTATTTATGTAATATGGAAAATAAACTTCTAAACTGGCTATAATTCTACAAGTGGAGAGTTATGTTTCCCCATATGTATTTTGGTGAGCCAGAGGACATTGTTGTGTCCAGCAGAAGTTCCTGTCCTTATTGGGATGGTGAGTGGCAGAAATGCCATAATCCCGTGTGAAAGCAAAAGAAAAGATTGAGCAATGTAGGTAATAAGTGTCAGTATATCCTGCACCAGGAGTTTATGGTATCGTGGACTTCAGCTGGTGTTAACCTAACTTCCCACCAAAGAGTGTTTCAAGCATTTTCTTTCTCCCTGACAGGCAGGAGAGGAGCTCTTTCCCACAGATGACAAAGGCATGTCAATACCCAGCAACACAGATATTCTGCATACATGGGAGGTAAGTTCAGCCACAGCAGGAGAATCATGTCTTGTGCCTTCAGCAATCTCTTCCACTTTCATTACCTTCAGCAGTCTAAATTCTCATGTATGCAGAACTACTCAGAAGGAGTCACTGATACAATAGGGAATTGTTGGGTATCATTATTTCCCACTTCTAACTTGCTGTGAATTTGCACAGTCTCAAAGAATGTGTCTTTGAGCTAGGTGAAATGGGAGATGTGGCACAAATATACTAGTACTCTGGTTTTTTCCTCAGATTTGAACTCTGCAAATCTAAATGCTTACCTTGTGCTTCTCATGAAGGAAATAAGCCATATCAAGAAGAACATGTTCTTCAGGCCCTGTCATGTATACTAGATGCTGACTTTGATCCCCTTTATGTTAGGCCATGGAGGAGCTGGTGGATGCTGGTCTGGTAAAAGCCATTGGTATTTCCAACTTCAACCATGAGCAGATTGAAAGAATCCTGAACAAGCCAGGGCTGAAATACACACCTGCAAATAACCAGGTAAGCTGAAAAGTGACTGCAGGTGAATGTTTGGGATTGATTGTTTATTTTTCAAGGATTACTAAGAACTTAGTATGAAATAATCTAATAGAGAACAGAGTAGACACAGCATGTTCTCTCAATCCTGTCCTTTAACTACTGGATGCACAAGGTGCTGGTTTTTATGGACTTTCTGCTCTACTGCTTAGAAATCTGGCAAGGAGCAGTTCCAGAATCCCTTTTTTGGGACTGGATGTGGGTGAACTTAAATAAGCTTTAAAACTGCCTTGAGGTGGAGTAAGACTTAGTGTGTGTATATATATATATGAGGATCTAATAGAGAATTGGATGACCCTTTTGCAACTCTTCCATGGAGAGGCCAGTTTCTGTTGCTGCTGACTGAGGGAACTGAACAGGAACATGCTTTATGGACAGCTTACAGACTTAATGAGGGTTGGGAGAAAGGAGGAAATGGAGTTGCAAGGTAGGTAGTTGCAAGTATCCAGGTATATAGACAACCCTTGAATAAAGTCTTAGGAAAATTCAGATGGCAGGAGACCTTGGAAGATAATCTGCTGTAACTTACAGCTCAAACATCAGTTGTGAGATCAGACCAGGTTGCCCAGGGCTTTATCCATCTTGAAAAACCTGCAGGGATGGAGACTGCACAGCTTCTTTAATCAGTGTGCTCCACTGCATGACCCATGCCTTAAGGGTGTGGAGGAGGGAGTTTTCTTATATCAAGTTTTAACTTATGCCTGTTGCCTCTTGTCCTCCCACCATGCACCACTGAAGAGCTTGGTTTCTTTGGATGACCTTCTCTTAAGTATTGAAAAGCTGCTGGTGGGAACCCTGAGGCCTTCCTTTCTCAAAGCTGAACAAGTCCAGCTCCCTCAGCCTCTCCCAATACAACAGGTTCCCAAGCCATCCTGGTGGCCCTCTGCTGAATTCATGTCAGTTTGCCAATCTTTCTTCTACTGAGGGAGCTGGGAAAGGGGAAAACTGGACACAGTATTACAAAAGTGGTCTGACAAGTGCTCAGTAAAGGGAGATGATCACTTCCTACAACTTACTGCCTGTGTTTCTGCTGCTGGGGCTCACTACTGGGTCATGTTCAGCTCAGCCTGCTATGGTCCCTAGGTCTTTTCTAGCATAAGTGCTTTACAGGTAGTCAGGCTCCAGCCTGTGTTATTGTCAGGCTTTTCCTTCCCAGGTGCAGGGCTATGTGTGCAGCCTTGTTGAATTTCATAAGGCTTTTGTTGGCCTGTTCTTCCTACCTGAGTGAGTTTCTCTGAAGTGGCAGCCCTACCCTTGAATGTATTGACTGGTCCTCCCTCAGTTTGGCATCACCTGCAAACTTGACAAGATTATAGCCTGGTACAAGTTGTTGAAGAGGACGGGTCCCAGGATAAGCCCCTGTGGGGTCTGTCTAGACTTGTTCTTGATTGTTATGGTGTTTGAAGGACTGCAGTTTCAGTTATTGATACCTGATTACACAACTCATTAATTTATTGTGGTAGCTTCAGAAAGCTAATAGCATTGCTCTCTGGAAGTCTATTCAACGTAAAACTGAAACATTCTGACAAGTGCAAACTTCATAATTCTCTACTGTGCACTTTCATTATCTGACCCAATGTACTTTTAGGATACTTAGTAGAAGTCTTATCTTTCAACATCTGCCACACCTCACTGCCACTATCACCGTAGTTGATGATTACCCATGTCTCTTGCATAGAAGTCACTAACCTTGTATCTCTCACGCTTGAAAATGTTCTCAAACTCTCCAATTACTATAACCAAGTTAAGTTCAGAGCAATGGGTCTTTGGTCCCTATCCTTCAAAACTTACTGCTTCTGAAGAAATGCTTGCAAGTGTGAAAGCTTGCCTGTTATTAACACTTACCAGTTGGTGTAATAGTGATAGTGCTTCCTGAAAACACGTTCTCAGTGTGGGTGTTTCAGTTGTGATCCAGTAATCACCTGTATTTGGTGTCACTTCCATTCTTAATTTGAGTGCAGTCAGTATGCATGTTGTTTTCATTTGTGGTGAGAAATTAATTTGGCGAAGAAGTAATTACACTGCAATGAAACCAGTACTTAGTTCAGTAAGGAAATCTGGCTCTTAAGTTATTGCAATTCACACTGTGTGATAATGATCAAGTACTTCAGATACTTGCTATATGTACATCCTAGGCTTTTCATCCTGGTCCAAACATAAGACTAGATAATGTAGCTCAGAAATTTTTTTGAGTGCCAGTGGACAGGAAAGGATAACTTTGCCTCACTATATCATGTAAATTCTACCTATTGAATAGTTGAGAAAGTAACAGGTGCTCTGTTACTCAAGTAGCTGTGCTTCTGGAGCTGCTGAAGCAAAATAAATATGTATAATCTGTCCCAAAAACTGAGTTGCATGTCCTGTTGTCTGCCATTCCAACATACCCCAGAAGGGAAACAGCCATGCAGATTTCTGATAACAGCAGGCAGCTAGAACCACAAATAAAGCACTCAAGGCTGTAAACTGATCCCATATTTTGCATACTCTTGCTCCACCTGCCAGTGGCACAAGTTTCCAAGGACTTCCCTCTGAATGCAGCAGCAGGCTGCAGAAGGCTCACATGACAGTGTAGTTAAAAGGTTCTTGATGTTGCCTGCTGAAAGAAAAGTAGTGCTCCCTGGTGTGTAACTATCTTGACAGTCCCTCTGTGCAAAGTACCAAATACTTGTGTTCATTCACTACCTCCTGACACATGAATAATTCCTGTTTCATACTGCATATCTGGGCATAATTTTGCCAGAATACAGATCTACTTTTAAGGAGTCTGTAATATGTTACATAGATAGTCTTACGGAAATTCATGGTAAATACACTTGTGTTCATAAAAAGTCTAACGGATGGTAAGCTGAAGGTCTAAAATCTGTAGCAGTTAGCCATTCTTACTGTTGGCAGACTGGAGGTATTCAGCATGAGTATTGACACAAAGCAAATAAAAACCAATGGAATGATACTGGTATTGAAGTTAATGTGGTAGTTGTTTAAAAAAAAAAAAAACCCACATAATGGCATGTAATTAGGGATGAACAGAGAACTTTGTACTTCCTGGTCTGCTATCCTATTATGATTTTACAGTTCTCTTGTGTATGCATTTTACTAAAGTGTCACATTTAAGCAATTATGTAGGTGGTTATTGCATGTGTTGGAGACTATGTTGATCAGCAAAGTTTTAAGGAGTGGTGTTACAGTCCTTGGATCCTTCACTGCAAGGCAAACTACTAAAAAGAGTAGAAAGGGGGTGGGGGCATACAGGAAACAGAGGCGTAATATTACACAAAAATCAGCCTTTGATTTGATTAAGAACTAATCCCTGGAATATGTTAAAGCAGGTAAATAACTGTCAATCTCTGTACTCCTATGTTGGCAGATCGAATGTCATCCATACCTTACCCAGGAGAAGCTGATCAAGTACTGTCACAGCAAAGGGATTGCTGTGACAGCGTACAGTCCCCTTGGCTCTCCTGACAGGCCATGGTAAGGGGCTGCCTTGCAATTTGAGAGGGAGCCAGTGTGGATTATGATTGGAGCGCTGAGACAGTAAATGCACCATCAATGGTTCATCTAAATACAGATTTCTGTTGCTATCTTCCCTTGGTGTAGGGCTAAGCCAGAGGATCCTTCCCTTCTGGATGACCCCAAGATCAAAGAGATTGCAGCCAAGCACAACAAAACCCCAGCACAGGTACGTAGGTATTGGACAGTGGGTACCCCTTCTTGTAACGCAGCAGAAAGGACAGCTAATGACAACGTAAAGGACAGGCTGGCACTTTGTTCCCTGTCACCTGTGGTGCTCTTCAGTGGTGTTAAGTAGCAACGCAGGTGTGTTTACTGCGTGGCCTTCAATGCACGCTTGCAAGGGCGCTCTGACCATCAAGAAGAAACATTTTCTTGACTTGTCTTCAGATGCTGTCATGTTTCAGTCTTCCCATCTGAAGTCCTGTTGCAGAGAAGTAAACCGTTGTATAGCCTACCAGAAGTCTAAGTGGGAAGGAAAGGAACTGAGTATTGCTAAACTGGATGGGAGAGGAGAAAGGAGGCCATCTATGCGCGGCACCACCACTTTTCTATTTGCATTTCAAAAAGTGCTGCTTAAAATTTAGGTATGATTTGAAATGCAGCTCTGCAGAAATAGATTAATTCTACTGAATTGTACAGTTTACAGCAAACAGCTGTTGGAACAGGCTCTGCTTCCTCCAGAGCAGAGGCTGTCCTCTCTCTGACTCAGTGGTCTGTTCCTGCAGGTTCTCATTCGGTTCCAGATCCAGAGAAATGTGATTGTGATTCCCCAGTCTGTCACACCACAGCGCATTGTGGAGAACTTCAAGGTGAGTGACTACGAGTGAGTGGGGTGCATGGTGTGTTCAGGGATGGCATGGCTTCTCCCTGCAGAGCAAGCAGCGAACCTTTCTCACCCTTCCTAAGTCCTCGGGCAAGAGAACTGGGCTCTTTCTGTTTACTTGCAGTCTGCTGAGGGCTAAACTTAAGGTTACAGTTGTAGAGCCAGAGTGAACAAAGCTTTTGGAAACACAATGCTGATAATCTCAGTGGTCATGTTATGTGATGCTTCCCCTTCTATGTCATGTGAAGGAGTCATCTGACTGAGCTCACTCAGCACCCAAGTGCAGTAGCACACCACAAAAGGCTTATGTGGAGCAAGCACTGTTATGAAAATAGTCCTGGTGTCCATAAATTGTGTTGCTGCTCTTTATTCAGTGGTCCTTGACTGGAACAAGCAATAGTATTTTGGAAGACACTTAGTTGCATAGGGTGGAACAGGATGTTTCTTTGGAATAGGACAGAAAGATGCATCTCCTCCGAATGGAGGATGGAGGCATTCTGCAACACTGAGTGGTCTCCAAACTTCTTAAAACATCTGGCACATGTAACTGCAACCTGAGGTTTTTTAATTCCTACCTGTTCCTGCTCACCTCCATCCCTGTTCCAGCTAGTGGAGTCTTAGAAATCCAGAAAGCCATCTTTTTCCTTCCCCACCTTCACAAAGCAGTAATTTATTCTAACAAGCACCCCTACACTGTGGAATTGTTCTTTAATTTTGTGCTTTTTTTGCTTACAATCTCTGATTTGATCAAAGAGGTGATTTCCAGTTGTTTTTCTTGTTAGGTATTTGACTTTGAATTGACTAAAGAGGAGATGGCAACCATTCTCAGCTTTAACAGAAACTGGAGAGTCTGTGCAATGAGCACGTAAGTGGTAGTGTTGGCTTTTTTTCAAGCTATTATCAGTATGTTATAGTTTAGTATATGAAGTTATAGATACTAGTCTTGGTTGAAATTCAGGGTATGCACACTCAATTTCCAAAGGAGTCATGCTCAAAATAACTTTGCAGAAGATTTTAAATATTCATGTTATGAACCAGATCATGATGAGAATAAAACATACCATGTTCATTTTCAGTTCGGTCTCCAAGAATTTGTTGGAGCTGGAATTGGAACAGGAGGCTTCTTATTCATAACTTTTTTGTCCATATTGGAGAAATGAGCATGACACAGACTCAAATATATTTAACTTTGCTTGTGGCATTTTGTCTTTCTGCCATGACCCTTAGGTATATTATAAAAACTGACTGTGTGTTCTTCAGGAGTGGTTGGGAAAGTGAGTGAATGTTCAAAAAGTAACATGAGGATTTGCAATCTGGAAGCCTAAAGCCAGATATTAATTCTTTGTTGGAAGGCTGCAAAAAAGGCCTTTAAGAGCAAAACCTTGAATTAGTTAGCTACAAAGCATCTAGGTTGCATTGCCTCAAAAATGCTTAGAGCCCAAACAGAAAGCACTCAATCTTTCTGTTTACAAATGCAGCACATCACCAAGGAAAACAGAAGCAAACTGACTCTTTTATACAGTTCAGCTCATCCCTTGGTGGCTCTCTGCAGTGGTTCCAGCTGCATATAGTATTTTTTGGACATAAAGTAATCTTTCCTCTTTGATTTCCTTCAGGTGCAAAACTCACAAGGACTACCCTTTCAATGCAGAATACTGAAGATAGTTTCCTGCCTTTCTCCAGACTTCTCTGATGTGCTTCTGCTGTTGCCTATGAGTTGTCGACACAGCTTTCGCACTGCGTCAGACACTCCCTCCTCTTTTTCTTTCCCCCCTGACAAAGATGCAGTATATGTACTAGGTGACTTTGTGTTGTTTTCCTTTTTTGGAAGAACGAAATGCTAAAATGGTTCTGAAGAACACACTGAGTGGACTAGTAGTTTGTCTTTGCCAAACTGGATGTCTGGAATTGGTAAGCAGAAGACATTGAGAAAGTTTGAACAAGTCACTTTTATTTTGGAATATTGTGAATTGGAGCTAGTGACTGTTATAGTCTGGAAGGACCAGGATATTGGCAGATTCTACATAATTAATGAGGTCTGCTTTCTTCTAATTACTTTTGGGTTTGGTTTTGTTTCTTTTAGTAATGCTCCATGCTTTTTTTCTCTAATTGGAAATACAACTTGTTTTTGAAGTACGGCAGTTTCTACATGGGTAGCTCTTTGAAAAGTGTATAGGTCCTGGTTTCTTGGTGATATAAAAGCTGGTTTTGCTTATAATAAAATACAGTTTCTTTACTGTGTGTAATGAGATGGTTATTTCAGTAATGTTCTAATGGTACTAATGCTGGAGTGGCTGTATTATCAGCTGTCTCTAGAGATTACACAAAAGCAAGGAAAAGTATTGTCCTCCAAGAAATCTGCTGTTAATGTTAAGTTCTTTATGGCTAGCTAGCTAGCTGCTGTTCTCATACTAGTGCGCATACAGAACACCTGAGTGTGAACCTGTGGCCATTGAGTCTGCTTGAGCCTCTCTTTAGAGAGCTGTTTGGGTATGTCTGACAGCTAATATACTAATGTTTAAATCAGTCTGTATTTTACTGAAGTGGTAGTATACTTTGGCTAGCAGAAAAACTCGTTCCATTGAAGATGTGAAGCCTATGCAACATCCTGTGGGATTGTTTTAGCAGTAGAAAACTTGCTGTTTCCCAGCAGGCATGATGCAGGAAAGAATTCTCTGCTTGTACAAGTTACTATTTGCAAATATAGTAAAAATGGGTTTCCAAGGAAATCCTGCGTCATGAGCTAGCAGATTGGAAACTTACTACTTTGTTCTGGGAGGACAGAAAAATAAGCTTATACCCAAATTTTGACATGTGAGGTGTGTTTGTCCCTTGGGTTTTTTGTGGCTTTCACAATACTTGCAGATAATGGTTTTACAGTTGTTGCCTTCTGAGAGCTGCTTAAGACTATTCACAAAATGCATTTGGGCAACTGTAAAAACAGTGGCTAGTTTGGGGTGATTTTTCTTGCATGTTCTTGTAAATTTTTTCCAAGGTCTGAGTAGACCTAATGTGAACTGGCCTCTGAAGGAGGTTGTGTAGGCCTGGCAGAAAGGGGGTTCTTTCTGAACAGATGAAAGAAGGGAGACACCAGAACTGTAAGGCATAGCCACCCCTAAATGGTAAACATAAGGTAGGATTCTGAACCCGTAACTGCATGGAATAGCATACCTTAAAGGGAACTCAGCCAGGTTAAAATGTACCATGAATGCAGTTGCTCTCGAACTATTTGCAAAGTAAGTGGTTTGTTTGCTGGTACTGATAAAAAGATATTAAGGAGTCATGCTAGCTTAAAATGTTTCTTTCTGATAAATACTAACCATTATTTGAAAATAAGAAAATGTGTTTTCTCAATATGCTGCTCTTAAATTTTTCCATTATCACCAAGGCCAGACTTTACATGCAACGCATTTTTGGTCAGAATAATTTACAATAGGTTGAACAGACAGGATTGGGTTAACTAGCAACACAAGGAGGAGGGAATCAATGTCTGACTCTAAGCAATAGTCTCCTCTAATGCTGATTTTTCTAACATAAATTGATTATAATCACTTTAAATTCTGGGCTTAAAAGCAAATACAAAAAGCTTCAGCTCTGCAAGTATTTTTTTGGTATATCTGTAATGTGATAAATAAAAGCCCAAAGGCATCTAAAAAAAGCAGAACAGCTAATGTTCTTAGATTAGTCTGAGCTGTGACAGAAAACTGACTGGGGCAATGTTGACTTGCTTGGAAATAACATTTTTGTGACAAGTGTGTTCTGGCAAGAAGTTACATTGATGGTCAGGGTTTCTAAAATAGTATGTCAGGTTCTGTTAACTTCCTCTGTTTTCATTTCACTGTAACTTTATGAAAGTTTGTGCCTGAAATTTTCCATTCCGAGTAGGAATTTTACTGGAGAAAACTCTCAGACTGGCAGCTCTGCAGCAGAAGGAAGACTAGCTAGTACTCCGGGTGAAGTGGTTATTGTAACAGGCGCTCTCTGTATTTTGCTGGATGACTTAGCAGGAAAGAATTTGGAAAGGGTCGTTCTGGGACACAGTGCAGCACTTAACTGGCAGAGGGCTTGGATGCTTGGTGAAATATGAGAGTGGGAATTGAGGAAAAAAGAAAAGCACCTGAGCGAAGGGACAACAATGCATAAGCTTGAACAGAAAGCATGAGGAGTGGAGAGTGATAGAAAACTGTCACTCATAATGATTTTTGGATTGCTTCTTCAAAGCCAGATATAATTAAATAAGGCTGAGATAGAGGAAGAGCCAGTCTTTGAGACTGCACCCAAGTCTTCGTTTAATCTAAGCTGATCTGAGGATTGTTACAGCAAAATAAATGTTGTACCCCCATACTTGTGCCACATGCTCTGCCTGCAGGGGTAGAGATTTCCTTTCATCTCCTAAAAGGTAAAGTGGAAAGATCAAAGAATTAGATATCCGGAGCCTAGCGTTCCTGTTAACTGAGCTCTTCCTGCTAGAACTGTTCACAGCATTTGTTTTTGTATTGTGATTTGACAGATCTCTGGGTTTCTGATCAAAGAAATGTTTAAGGACAAATACAATCTTGTAGCTCTTCCAGTGAAAAGTGGTTATTTTTCTTGGGTTTTTGATTTAAGAATTTGTAGTTCAGCTCCACCTTGTTGGCGTCTCTTACTAGACTTTCTCAGGACTCTGCTGCAGCAGTTAAGCTAGTGTGATACTGTAACACACCCTAGGAGGAATAGTCCAGCCTACAGGAAAGATTAGGAGCAGGAGACAGTTAAATCAGTTCTTGGGATTGGTAGAATCAGTACCTGCACTTAAAATTTGTTTCACTTCCAGCTACACTCTCACTGCTTTAAATGATACCAGATTAGCAGGCCTTTTTCCTGTTAAAAGAAAATGGCTCTGATAGAACAGATCCATTTCCATAGTAGCAAAGTGTGATGAACTAATTTATCAGGGTAAACAAGTAGAGAAAATTGGCAATTATCTCATTGGAGAAGGCAAGAGATAGTTTTTGAGAATTTTTTTGGGGTAGCAGGGGAGAATACAAGAAGCAGCTGGAATTGGCATCTTGCTGGTTGGAGGTAGGACACTACGAATAGTCTGACAGGCACAGTATTTTTCAGCATAAGGTGTTGATGTTCCTTTGGGAGAAAACAGCTTGACTTCTGATATCAGAACATAGATACACAAGCCTGCCTGGCTGGAATCACTTTTCGTGATGCTCTGTAACTGGGTGTTTGTTCCTTTCTGGGGAAGGGGAGGCAGGATCTCCCGCTGAGCTCACAAGACTGACAAAGTGTATACTGTAACATTTGTGCAGAGTTGTGAAATCTGGGGCACAGGAAACTATGTTATTCAAAACAGGAAAAGAAAATCCTGTATTTGGATTTTTAATCTGTAGTCACTGTGGTGAAGATATGACTAGAAATCTGGAGTCTTTTGCTTAATTGGGATGTAGAACAGTTGAGACAAATTATTTTATCTTTTTAATAACTTAATATTCACCTAGTTTGTCATGTATAGTTCTGTCAGTAACTGTTTTTCATCCCTTCCTCTGCCTTGTCCTTGGTCATTGAAAGTGCAGAGCCCTGCCTTATTCTGGCAGGACCTTGCTCATTTAAGCTGAAAGGCAACTCTTAAAACTTTCATAGGCCATGTTGCTCTTGCACTTTAATTTGTTCAAGTGCATCATACAGGACTACTAGCACAAACACCTGCAAAACTTTTTTCCAGATTCTTAAACAAAAAATTAAACAAAAACTGAATATAGTCTAGCTTTTCCGAACTGAACTAAGCCTGATCACAAGCCAGCTGATAGCTGCTCATAAGAACAGCTGAACTGAATCAAACTAAATATCTACCTACTGCAGCATTCTGTCTCCATCTGTGGCCAAACCAAGTTGTTGAAGATAAGTTGAGCATTGCAGTAGTGTGTTCTTGAAAGATCTTAAGCTGTTGTCAGATAGTTAAACAGCCATCAGTTAACTCTTTCTTGTTCAGTTACCTTGTGAATCTGTTGCATTCAAAGGAACGATTTTTCACACCCACATAACTTGTGAAGAATTGCTATCTCTGTTCTTGGCTTCTCTGCTGCTATATTAATTTGATGCTGTTTTTTACAGTGGAGGAGAAGGCAACTGATCTATTGCCAGTCATGCTTTCCAAGATCTGGTAAACTTCTGGCATAGCTCCCTGCACTGTTGTCAGGTTAAGGAAAGTCTTAGTCTACTTAACTGCTGTCTGTAGAAACTATTCCTAGGCCACTGATTATCCTAGTCAGTTTTCTATAAATCTTGTCTAAGATATAGAGGAAGGCAAGGCCTAGAACTCTTTGTGCAGGGTTCAAGGCAAAAAATTCATGGAATGGGTCTATTGTTTCTTTTGTTTTTCATTCTGCTTTCTTTTAAATGATACTGAGCTCAATGATGAGAGGGCTTAGAATTATAATAGATGGAAAACCTGAGCAGCAATGATCAGTAAAGAGTTTTTTATGTGGTGTTCACTACCTACGCTATTCTGTTTTTCCCTCTGAAACCTGGACATAACACTTTCTTTTTTTCACCCAGCCCCTTTGGAACTTTTAATGAAGACTTGACTATACCAGAATGGGTGAACTGCACAATAAAAGCTCAAGTCATGGGACAACATGGTTTGATACAAAGGCAGAATGCTAAGCTAAGATGTTTTCCATTTACTGGACTCAGTCCAGTGGCACAGATAATCTCACTGCTGACTAAGAAAGATGTATCTGGGTTTGGTCTAAGAGTACTGCTATCTATGTAGCTGATAGAAACAGAAAATTATTTGGGGATAATATAAACCTTTCTGTAGTTCCAACAGGAAGCTGATGATTATGTTGTTGAGGAAGTAGGCACACAGGAATAGAGGTTGCTAGTCCTTCAAGCTCTTGCCTTTCCCTAGAGCTGGTCATGGTGACTTGAGCCTGTTTATGCTGCATCTGACAGTGGGACAATACTCATGTTCTTTTCCTGAAGCACTTTAGTGTGGTACGTTCTCTCCTGGCTTTAAGAGATGGCCTTGGTATTTTCAGGTCTATGAAGTGCTAGACCTGTGGCCTCTTGCACATCTGCTCCTCATGTTAGACATTGATCCAGCCTGGAGATTAGTAACTAACAAATGCTCCATGGGCCACTACAAGGTATGTGGTGACAGACTGTCACTGCGTGTACCTTCAGGCTACCTAGATAACAGCAGGCAGTTGAATTAGTTACAGCTACAGAAAAGGGAGTGGGTTAAATGTATACACTTGCTTATTAACACAGGGTTCAGATGAATCTGAAGGTGGAGACTAAAAGCTGCCAGCACTTGTCAGTGTGTGGCAATACCTTTGCTGCACCTGCCTGCACTAATAGAATAAATAAAACTCATTAGAAGACACTTGTAGCGTGTCCATTCCTCTCTTCTACTGCAGTCATCTGATCAACAAAACACTCTTCTTTAGTCAACTGAATTTACAATACTAGTAAAACAAACCCCAGTCTTTACTCTAGCCTGTCATGGCAATTTTTATTTTCTTACAAGTAGGTTCTATGTAAAGCAAAGTCTGAACTTTCAAGAAAAAAAACACAGAAGGGGTTGGGAGACTTCTTGAATCCTCAAAACCAAATACAAGGGAGATTGTGCTTTGTAGTTTCCTCTCTACAGCTAGCAGATACAATTAGAGCACTGCCCTCGTGCCCTACATGTAGGGGTAGGCAAAGTGGTGAAGGTATGAAGTGTGCTTCTTGAGCAGCTTATGGCAGCAGCAGCCATCCTAGACTGCTGTGAGGCAGCAATGGTCTGCTAGAAAGGCACATTGTCTTTAAGTCATATGGCTGCAGCTCAGCTGCAAAATAGAAGGTACTTTATTTCCCAGTAACTGACATCACCCAAATTTTTTCTCCTTTTTCCTTTGCTAAAGTCTCTGCAGCTGAAAAAGATCTATTGTCTCTAAAACAAATGCACAATCTCTGGCTTCTAACTTGTTTTGAATCTTTTACTATTGCATGGCTGCTGTGATCATCTAGTCTGACTTCCTGCCTACCACAGTCTATAAACATCCTGTAAATAACTTCAAGTCCAATAGCTGTGATTAAATTGGAATGTTGTTAGAAAATTCCTATGAAGTTGAGAATATTTTGAGATAGGCTGTATGCCACAGCCTTAAGTGGGTATTGCCTCTACCGCTGTAGACTGACAACCTGATGCCCGTGTGAATGGCTGGAGGCAGAGCACCTTCCATGTACCTCATTTTCCAGCTGTGGCTGTGATAATATCATCAAACTGACCTTTTCAATTTAGCAAGTTCAGGGGGAGGAAAAAAGGGAGTACCTTCCTGTCCATACCACTGCACTGTAACTGGTGTCAATTGCTGATATGCTTTTCAGACCTCTTCCTTTAGAAGAGTTGCTGTAGGAAATCCAATTTGATGGAATTGCTTTGCCATTTCTAGGGCACCTGTTATTCAAACGTCTTGCAAAAGTCTAAAGTAGCTCAAAGATATGTCATCATTTCCTTTATAGACTTAAAAACGTCAACTACAAAGAAAATCAGTTGGAAAAGGATATCCATGAAGTGTGTATCCTAGCCCTGAACCTTCATTACACAATTGTCCTTCCTCTCTGCAGGCAGTGCTGATCCACATTGTTCTTCTGGGCTGGAAGAGCCTAAAGCAATTGCAGGAGTTCTGAGTCACATGTTAGAGTTCCAGAGCAAGAAGTCTTCATTAACAGACACCTCATTAAAACTCCAGCAGATGCATGGGCTGTGGTAGCACTGACTTTTTTTTTTTTTTTTTACCAGAGAAAACAACATCCAGTGACATCCTTTGAGTTAAAGCACAAGCAGACAGTACCTAGGGAGCAGTACAAGAGAGTGAAAATCTTCTATTGGCTTCTATGAAGCTGCCCAACTTTTCTGCTAGTTAAATAAGACAGTTGCCAAGCAAAATAATTCTTCTGTCTCTCCTTTATCAGACTTTGGATGTGCTGGGAGAGATTCACAGTCTTAACTGCAGCCATTCTACTAATAAAGGCAGTATTTATATATTCCTGTAGATATGATAAACCAAACATACAACTCTCCTACCAGTTTATTAGTTTTTAGCAGCAGTTCATAAATAGGAAACCTCATTAAGAAAATGGTTCCTGAAACATAATTCAGCTGTGTCCTCTAAAGAGCTTTCAGTCTGTTATGCTCAAATTGCTGAATGGGGCCTCTCAAGCAGTATATTGTCTTATCTTATAAAGATCTTCTGATGTTAAATGGATTGTCTTATGTTAACAACTAAAAGATAGCATGTGTTTTGACCTTTTATCCAAAAATACAACCACTAGTAGAACATAAATTTCTCTAAAATTTGTCAGGACTTACATTTATGACAAAGACTGCTTTTCACTGATCCCAAAGATTTGGGTTTATTAAACTTCTTTAACCATCATTACTAAATTATAAGATAACATATTTTTCCTACAACTGAAAATTTTGTTACAGCAAGAGTAGAGCAAAGATACAAATAAAGGACTGATATAACTGTAGTTGATAATAAGGGAAATGCGTGCATGCTCAAAGATTACGCTTCAGAATGTCTATGAGCTACCCTCTCCCATCTTGTAATACATATTCCACTTATATTGTGATTTAGTACACATGAAGTATTACAAATTGCTTGAAACAAAGATACGTGGTTCTGATCCCCGGAGGATCTGAAAATGATGCCTTTGTTAGTCTTCCAAAAAAGGATAGTCCTTGTGATTTTTGCATCTAGAAAAAGAGAGTATGATTAAAACACTTCAAAGATACAGTCTTAAGGCTAAAAAGAAAAAGCTGTTTCCCCCGACGAAGGTCTGCAGAACTAAAACTGTGAATTACAGATAAAACCTCACATGAGTACGCTTAGTTTACACAGGGCAGTGGAAATTAATACTCTGTAACCTTCGCATATGCCAGTGACCTTGTTCTCAAAAGATAATGTGTCTTTTGCTTAGCTGAAATTGCCAAACTTCCCTGCCAGATCAAGCCACTCTCTTGTGAACTCCTAAGTCTGCAGTATGTTATTAGATAAGTGGGTAACCTGGGAAAACAGAATAAATTGCAGATCTGTGTAAGTCTGTATCTAACCATTCTATTATCTAGACGCTGCTTTAATAATGTTGGCATAAATATATAGGCACAGCTTTTCACTTCAAAAAACCGTACAACTCTCATTCTTAAAAAGGAGTTTGTTTACACTGACTGTCTTTTATATAAAGTAGCCAAAGAAAACAGAAAAAAAAATGTTGCCTATTTATTTTGGAGTTTCCAGCCGATGTTGATTTTCAGGCAGCAGTTTGCTATGTGTCTGTTACAAGATATCTTAACACACACCGTACCCACAAAAAATCCCAACGCTACCAACCCGTACAAGACGGGCAATGCTCTAATAAACCCTAGTGCTGGATTCCAGCAGATATGGATGTGGCCAGGTATTGGCTAAGGTTCCCTCTCTTCTTATTTTTAAGTGGGGTGATCAAATACTGCCTGTTAAAAGGATATCCAGTGATAATCCAATCTTACTAAAACACGGAGGAGAAGGTACTCACTCTCTTAATGCACAGATGCGATACTGCTTCTTGAAAGCGAGGAAGGTTTCCATCTCCTCTTTAGCCAATTCAAAGTCAAACACCTGAATAAAGGTCCCAAACAGCTGGGTTACTTCAGTTTGCAAAAAGACAAGTGTAAGTTCATTTGCAGAGAGAACACCAAAAACAGAAGTAGAAAAGTGTTCTATTTGTTCAAGCACTAAGAAGGCTGCAATAGATGCACGTTTGTGGTGAACAGTGAATAAATGTCATAAAGTTACCGTGCTGGTGGGGTCTGATTGCATCATATTTATATCACAAGGTGGAAAAGTTAATCTCTCTTACTTGATGTGTTCTAATGAAGGAGACTGGGCTTCTTCCTTTTAAAGTAACTTTCTTCATTCATAAAGAAGTAACCTACATAGTATTTGATGGACAAAAGGTTTTGCCAGTTCTAAGTATGAAGGGGGTACTTTGTTCCAGTGGCGGAGTGGATTTTTCTTTTTAAAGTTTAACACCATTAATAATTTTGTAAGGTACTCTTACCTTAAAATTTTCCTCAATATGGTGTGGAGTGGCAGATTTGGGAATTACGCTCACATTTCTTTGAATCTGGAGCCGGATAAGCACCTGCAGGAACAGATAGGGAATTACAGCTGAGAAGTTCTGCCTGTCTTCTGAAAGCTGAAAACCATACGTGCCTACGTGGTTACATGGAACAGCTCTTCTGATAATTAGAGATGGCTCACGTAGGAAAAGCACTATAGTAAACCCTTCCTAATTATTGCATGAGCTCATTTAATTATTATCTGTCTCCAAAGCTGAGATAACAGCATAGGACTACAGTTTGGGATTGGCCAGGGATACTGTGCGTAGAAGTGGCTAGCGTGCCAGTTAAAGCCCAAAGCCATTGGTAATCTTCTGTCCATCATTAAAACTAGTGTTAGAGATAACATTTTTTAAAGTATTACAATGTGTATGAGCGCAGCGGGGACTCAGCTTTCCATAATAGCTCTGTAAATAGTTACTTTAGCACAAGTGGGAAAAATATATGTCACCAGGGAAAATACTATGTACTATATACTCAGTATTAACCTGAGCTGGAGCTTTGTTGTACTTAAGTGCAATTTCCTTAGTTTGGAGGTCATCAAAAAGGGAAATATCCTCAGGCTTGGACCTGTGAAAATAAAAAGCAGACTTCAGCAGTTGAATGGTCCACTGTCTTCTCCCTCAAGCACTGCAGTATAATATTATTTAAATGTTAAGAAAGCAGCATCTTGCACACCGTAATTCACCATCTTCTCGTTGCTCCAGTCCCTGCCTTCATTCTTTAACACAGGTTGGCACACGAGAGGAGGCCTGTAGTTTCTAGTATAACAGGTCACTGTAACACATTCCAGTCCAGCCTGGGATCAGGCTGGGAATTTCTTTGGTCCAGATCCCAAAAATTTCATCTTCATAATGGGCAGCTGTCATGTCCTTCACAAGCACAGCTGCTCTGGTAAGCACCCTGTCCCGGGTCAGAGAAAGCCATGAAGACTGGAGTAAAAGCAAAATTTGATCAAGTCATCCATTTGAAAACCTCCATTTGTCTCGGCAGGACTGCAGAGTTGCTATTTTCCTAAGCATGTGCTGCTTTGGTTTTTGTGGGTTTCTTGGTTCAGAAGTTCTCTTATGTGTTTAATATGCTCACCAAGCTCAATTAAGAATTATCTTCACTACTTTCACCAACCAATTGATCCTTTTTCTCCTAAATATGAAACTCCAGTAACAGCACAGTTGTGAATTAGTGGACTGAATATCACAATAAGTGTAAGGAAGGTTTCTCTCTGTGTGTTATTTTCAATGACTTAGTAAATATTTTTCTAATTACATCAGTTTTACTCTGCAAGGGTTTATCCACACCCTAAGACTGGTTTACTGTATTGGCTCCAATCTGCATCTAAGAAAGAAGCCTCACGAAGCATTCTTACCATGGCCAGTTGGGCGCTCCAAGGGGACAATACGCAGTGACGGAAATCCCTTTGGATTGGCAAAACTTAATCAGCTCTTCCTGAGGAAGGTAGGGGTGGCTCTCAATCTACAAAAAAAATAGTTCTTCAGAAGCAGAAGGTACTTCAAGGTTTAGCATCACTATGGTGACCTATCAAGCCGCACATCAGCTTTGAAAAGGTTGTTCTTTTTGCAGCTATGGGTTTTTTCAGAGGGTCAGCCCGTGTTTCAGATCATTTCCCCTTCTTCCCAACCCTGCCTCCAACAAGGCCCAATCTTCATATATTGGTTTCTTTGTCCAGCTGCTTGCCTTGTTTTTCATGACCTCTCAGAGTCCCTATATCAATGGGCTCCAAGGTCCATTTGTGCGCATATCCAGCTGAAGCACCCAACTCTGATGCCATCCAGTGCTACCTATTGACCCCAGCAGTGTAGCCTGGCTCTGGTCCTATCTATTCACTCAGCCTCTTTTTACTCAAGGGCTGTAGGAAAGGAGAAGGCTAAGCCCCACCATGTTCTCCATTGTGGAGCTCAGCTCTCAGCGTGCACGAGCTCAGTGCTGCAGTCAGAAGAAAGGTGAAGGTCACACTTTCAATCCAGAAGTGCCACGGGCTTGTGTGACTGCAGCTTCTTGCGCAAGGAAGGGCACAGAATGTTCTGCATCTTTCATTACTTTATGATTTATCCAAATACAGCTGTATTCCCACACAGATAAGAAAAAGCACGGCCTTACTATAAAAGGTATTTTACTGCCAGAGATGTTCCATCAAATGCAACACCTCAGACAGGTGTGATGTCAGTACTGATGAGTTTGAGAACAATTTACTTGATTATTTGCAGGTTTGTGTCTTAAGCCTGGTTTGCTCAGGAGCCAATCTATCTGTTTGTGGTTGAAGTTGGAGACCCCAATGGCCTTCACCATTCCCGCATCCACCAGCTGTTCCATAGCCTAGAAACACTACAGAATCAGACTTGCTGTTGAATTAAGATCTTTTTTTAGATGGAAAAAATGCCTCCTGAAAGACCTCAGTTGTAAAAATTATCATGGCTGGGATCAGTTCTGATGTGGCGTTAGCACAGTACATTGAATGGAGGGGCCCCAGTCAAAGACTCAGTCTCCCACATCACATATCATCACGCAAATAAATAACAGCATTATTCAAGATTAACAATTACTACACTATTATTATTTCAGTAGAATACAACGATTTTGAAATATTATCCCCAGGCAGACCTTCTGCTCATAAATAAGAGGGGTTTTTTAGGATGACTCCTCAGCTAACAATTACCCATAATAAAAAGCTTGTCATTCAGAACAGCAGCTCGACAAGGAGGTGTTCTGGGAGAGCTACAGCAGAATGCCTGATCATCAACGCCAATTAATTTCCCAAGGGAGGTGTACCTTTTAGTGGTGACAGTATAGTATAAGCAGTGCCATGTTCCCCCCACCACCACCTATTTTCTTTCACACTAGCAAACAATAAAACAACTAGACAGCCCTAATTAGATTGGCACCTCCAGGAGAAAAGAAACAGGAGAAAATAATCTACTTTTTCTGCCTTTAGAGCAAAAGATATACCTCTTCCAAAGCAGAAATCCTTTTTATTTGAAGTTTTTATCATAAGCAGCAGCCTGAAATATCTACTTTTTTCCTTCAAATGAGCAACAAAAATCTGCCTTATTCTTCATCTGACAGAAGGAAAAAAACATCAGCGAATTCTTCTGACCCTGGTGAGTCTTTTGTCTTCTTTTTTGGCCATGCTGAGCACATGGTGGGGGTGGAGGGGAAAGGAAGCCCAAACCATCAGCCAAGCAGAAATTTGAACTTGCCCCCAAGTCTTGTCTCCCACGCCTGCGCCTGTGCTCACGCCTGTTTGCGTTGCACTCACAGATTTAGCAAAGGACTTTGGACAAGTTCCAGTACTTTCTAGAGGGGGGAAATTTGGATGCTGTGGGTACACTGGCACAGGCATGTTGGCTTTCCTGTCCTCTGGACAGCTCAGGTGCAACTAGGGATGAGCATGGCTACAGCTAAAGCCACCGATAAATGCCCAGAGCGCGGCGCGGGGGCTGAAGCAACAGCGTATGTCAGCTCAAACCACTGCAGGGTACATATGCAGTGAAAGATGCCATCTTGCCATGCCCACCCAGCCACGTTAGTAAGCAGTAGACATAAAAATACCTCAATTTTGGCAAAGTGGCACAAGAAGGAGCCCAAGGGCACAGAGAAATCAGCAATCTGGAATACGTCACATCAGAAATTCTCTCAGAACAACTCCCAAAGTGGAAACCTTCAAGTTTTCAGGCTGTTATTTCAAACTAGTAAGAATTTTTTGGCCTGTCAATGAACATACCTCCCACGTATCCAGAAAATCTGTATCACTGGGAACGATCATGCAATTTCCATCTGCAGGAAATAGCTCCTGTCCTGCCTATCATCACAAAAGAAAAGTGAGTTTAAGGTAGGCTGAATCGTAAGTGCTTAAAGAAATCACTTAGAAATTCTACAAGCAAGCGGAGCTGGAGACACTTTGCATATCCTGGCTTATGTTTGTGTTGGGGAGAGAGGTGGCCAAAACCAGTAATCTGTGCAAACAGAGCAATCTTCAAGAAAATCTGCATCTTCAGAATCTGTCCTGCAGGCAGAGGAAGGGCAGACACTTTTATGTGCCTCAGTCGGGTTGGGGGGGGAAGGCCAGGGATGTGACACGATGTGAAAGCAGGGATTTATTTAACCTGGGGGTAGAGAGAGAAGAGAAAAATAGGAACTAAGTAATTCACAACTGTTTGATCCTGGATAAGCAAAGGACAGCCAAATCCCAGGCTTTAAGAGGAATGCGATCTGAATGGTAATTTGATCCATGACATGGAAATGTTGTGCAGGTTAAAATAAGGTGGTTTTTGTACTACCAGACCTAGCTTAAGGAGCCATGACCTTGCCTTTCCTCCTGGGCACTCCGTGTGGAGGTTCGTCATTATGTCCTAATGAGGTTTAACAACACTCCTCATTAGAGAGGACTAAAGGCATGTCTGGTCCCAAAGGAAAAAGTGGCAGAGCTCTGACAGATGGCTCCCGGGAGTTAAACTCTCAGTACCTTGAATCCCATGGGCCAGTGCATCAGGTAGAGATCCAAATAATCCAGTTGGAGGGCAGCAAGTGTTTTCTGGCATGCCTCCTTCACCAGGGATCTCTCGTGGAAGGTGGACCACAGCTGCGGGGCTAACGCAAAGCCTGGGAGCTGCTCTCCTAGCCTCATGACCGCAGAGCATCCCTGGCAGGGAAACACACGGTGCAGACACAGAGGCAGCTCGTGATATGGCACGTCTTCTCGTCTTGAAGAAGTGCCACTTTTTTGCACCTTATTTTATTTGCGGTGCTGTCAGTTAAGTAAGATGAGAATGAGATACTCATTCCAACGGTTCATACAACAATTAAAGAAAACAAAGGGGAAAAAAAAAAAAAAAGGCAAAACTGGTGAAAATCGACCCGCCAGCTTCCAGCAGATAGAAGTTACTTTATTTTTCCTACCATTGTTGTTGGGGGAAAAAACAAAACAAAACATAACATACAGGAGTTAATAGGCTGAGGCCGGCAGCGCAGCAGGACGGACCACGAATACAATAGCCCTGCTTCCTATCTCAGAGGCAACTGAGAGCACGGCCTCAGTTCCTGTCTCCATGGCTGACAATGGATACGGACTACAAAAAAATCCCTCTCAAATCAAGCTTCCCCCCGCCCCGCAAGAACTGACCTTTTCCTTCCCTCCATCCGCAAAACGCTTTGCCCTGACAGAGAGGAGTTAATTCCCAGATCAGCCTCATGCCCTGGCACTTTGCAGGTTGAGACCTTGTCTCTCCTCCCAAGAGCTGGCCTCATGTGAGACAAGTTATCCAAGGACGTACCTTACTGACAATAAAGAGGTCTTCTCGCTTCACAACCCCCTCCTCAATTTTTTCTCGTAGCGCATCCCCAATCTCACTCTCGTTCTGGTACAGGTAGGCGCAATCAAAGTGGCGGTACCCAACATCGATGGCAAACTTCACTGCACCTCTCGCTGCTCCTCGGAGAGACTGAAACAAGAAGAAAAGTCAGCAATTTGGTAAAAGCAGAAAAAGAAGTTTCTGCTTCTCCAAATCTGGAGACTTTAAGTGCCCAAATAATGAAGTGTGAAGGATCGTGCTTTAATTAGTTTCTGGAATAAAACAGCCAGGTGAGTCACTGATGAGCTGCCTGAGCCGATCTGCCCTTTTCTAAGGATTGAACGTTCACATTCGGACAGCAAGCTATCTCAAAATAAGTTCTAGTTTGCCCAGAAATTAAAAGCAATTTTAGTGTGAGATACTGGCGACATGAGGAAATGAATCACCCCTGGAAAGCTTGCTGGCCCTGCACACAAACAAGCCGGCTCTTGTTGACATAGGACAAGGGAGGTGAGAGGACGGCAAAACACTACAGACAGTGCCACCTCCTGGGTAAAATAGACAACCTGCTATTTAATAGCAAAGTAAAACACTTCGGATTCTTGGCTTGGAGACACTGAAGAGTTGTTCGATGACTGCCTACAGATTCTGGAAAATGGCACTACAAACAGAAACATGATTCAAAACCGCGACCACCTCCTACGTATAACTTCATTACATCCCCACCCATCTTTTTTTTTTTTTTAATGATTTCACTTCCCCAAGTATTTCCAATCAAAGGATGCTTGGTTGGTTCACCTAAATTTAAAAAAAAAAAACCCAAAAACATAGAAACCGCAGTGTTTTTTTCCACAGGGCTACACACACCCAAATAGCCAGTTTAAAAATTTACAAGTTTTCCTTTTTGCAGCCCCTTTCCCCTTCCTACGTATGAACGCTGCAGCTCCTAGGGCGGCATGGAAAAGCAGGCTAATGGCGACACTTGCCAAATGCCGGGCATTGGAGAGGATACCTTCTCTCTGGGTGCTGCTGCAGCGTGGGAAAGCTGCTGTGCAGGAGTAATCAGCATTGCTTTGGAGTGGAGGAGGAGCTGGTGGAGAGCAAAGGTGACAATATACCCTGTGATTACACAAAACTCGGTAATGTGAGATGTTTTTCAGAAAAAATAATCCATTGCTTCATTTTACATGGTGCTCACTGAACCAGACTTCGAGTTCCTGGAGTCAGAGTGACTGGGTAAAGGAGAGGCCCCGTTGCCGCACCGAAACGCAGGGAGTCATGGCTGAAGTTGCTGTGGGAACCTTGAAATCAAATAGCTTTGATTAAGTAATCGCAGTGGGTTTGGGCCATGTTTTCACTGCATTAACACAAGAGATTTTTGTGGTGGAAGGGATCATGTGTCCAAAATTTTCCTTCTGTTTAGTCCTAACTAGTTCCTGTTAGCATGTCAACAGGTTCCTTCGGAGAGCTCATCCACCACAGCGTCAGTGCCCTAAGAGGCCCCACGCAAGGCACGCATTGCTTTTTTAAAGCCTACTTCGTTACTTCGGGCTTCTTAGTGTCTTTTGTCGTCAGACCAATAAAGACCGAAAGGGTTAAACAAACTCAGGCCCGTTTGTGCATAAGTTATGTGATGATTAGCAGCAGCTGACCCGAAAATATAGCAAGAATAATTTAAGATACTTTTATGCTGACTGGAGAGTGTTTTTCATAGAGTTGGCAGCTTGCAATTCAATATATCTAGTCTCCAGTCTCAAATCCAGGGGACAATCTGCTCTTTTTTTTTTTTTCTTTTTTAAGAAGCTTGCTTTCTTAAAATTTTCAGCTCAGTTCCAGACTCCTTTAACATTAATAATTCAATATATCCTTAAATCTTCTCCCTTATCAAAAGCCCATTAGATAACATTTGCAGGGAAAGAACTACCCAAACTATTTTCCTGCACATTGTTGTGTACTCATTTGCTGCCATACAAGTAAGTTATTTTCAGTCTCTAAGGAGTTAATGTAAATTCCCATTTCCAAATCCACTCATTGCCACTTAGGTTCCTAAATCTACATGCACTCATCAAAGATGACACGCTGGGATATTAACACCCAGTGCTACAAAAGAAAAAACAAAAAAACCCACAAAAAACCACAAAAAAAACCCCAAAAACAATCTAGGCAGAAGTTTTACTTTTGTAGTACGTAATTTTTTTCCATAACTAAGAAAAATCTCCTACTACCTGCTAAGCAAGCACAACCTGCTCTCTTAAAAAATGTCCTGAAGGACAGTGGTAAATTCCTGCAATATCTGAACTATATCAAAAGGCAAGAAATGCCGCATAGAGGATTTGCTACATTTTCCTGACCCGAAGAGGAGATTGCTGTTAAAGTCTACCACGTGTTTCAGCAATATCCTGGTGTCACCTGCGTGACCAGAGGCACAGGAACGAGGAGAGGTCCCCAGCTCCAACAGGTACCTGCCAGGTCCCCAGTCCCAGGACGGGCATCCTCGCGCGGGTGGGCAGCTCCAGGTAGGTGGCCTTGCGTGGTCCCCTCCCAGTCGCGACAGGCCAGGAGAGGCTGCGGCCCCTCGCAAAGCTTTTTGAATAGGCTTCGCCCCTCCCTCCTGCCTGCTGACTGGCTGCGGACAAGGAAAATATGGGCAGAAGTGCTGTAGTAAGCACGAGAATGCAGGGGGGTTGCCTTTTTCTCACCCTTTGGAATATTTCAAAACTGATTGTAGGCTCCTCACATGAATTTGTTGAGTGAGCTCGTCATGCTAGCTACACATATTATTGCATTGACTGAGGTTGCAGCTTTTTGTATAATTCATAGGCTCTGCTTGTCTGCAAGAAAAGTGGTATTTGAGGAGTTTGCACACACCCCAAGAACCCTTTCCAGTCTCACCTTTCCGCCCCTGAACATTTCACCAGAAGAAGCCACAAAGCTGTTTGTATCAGAAGGAAGCACAGATCTGTCCACGAGAGGGATCACCATTAAAAAAAATCCTAATAGTGCTTCATTCCCACAGCACTGGGCACCTATATTATATATATATCCCCTACATTGCGGCCTATGGCTCGCGCTCATGAGCTGCAGGACATAGGGACAACATGGTCCTTTTAATGAAGGGTCCCCCCCACTTGAGAGTGGAACTAAGAAATAAATAAAGCTTTGTCTTATCAAGAGTCATTTTGTTTGCCCTGCGTGACTCTTCAAAATCAAAACAGCTTAATCTGCAAGACTGATGATCGCTAATGGCACATCTGTGTTTCCTGGGGCAGCCACGTGTCGTTTTCTGTACTTACCCACTTTTCAGAAGCCAAACAGCTTCAGGTGTCTTGTTCCTTGACGCTGTGTTACTGCTATTTCATGGCCTTTCTGGTTTGCATGCTGTCCTACATTAGATTTTTTTACTGTTCACAACTGAAAAAGCTTCTTCTGCATAAACTGATAAAAGTTTTACAAGGCTTAGTAGGAATAGCAGCCTGTTCTGGAAAAATCCGAAACCTCTCGTTTTTATGCCGAGTGGCTTTGACCCCAGCCTGGAGGCTCCTGTGTCCTGCCAGAAGGAGGTGGCGTGCTACCTGGTTTCACAGCCCGGCCCAAAATTTTGCAAGAACTCATTTTAAAGCTATGAGTGGTGAGCATTTATTGTTTATCCAGCCATTAATGAACTTTTCCTCCCCTGTCATTTCTTTGTCTGTTAGAGGCAAAACCATCCCCAGGGTAACACCACGTTTCAACAGGCAGCCTCTCAAATGCCCAGCGACCTGGGACAGGTCACTCTGTTCAGGCACTTCTTACCGCGTGCAGACCCTGCATGCAGAATACGCTCAAGCTGAAAGCGTAAACCTGCTGTTTTAAAGTTAACACAGATAAAAGTCCACAAAGCCCGAGAGGCTGAGCACGAGCACGCTCAGCACTCCCAGGGCAGACACCCAAAGAGCCCCCGCAGGGCAGCAGGCATCAATCCACCCTGCCGCTCCCTACAACAGGTCCCCAGTGGTACCAAACCCTTGTCCTCCAGCACCAGATTTCCTTTAGGATTTCGTACCTTTTCACATCGGGTAGTTTTTCCTCTCATATCCTCGAGTCATTGCTCACACCCGTATCAACCAGCAGCAGCCGGCTCTGCCTGCAGCCTGACCTTTCCCGCACGGCTCTGTGCCGCAGACCTTCTCCCTGCTCCGTCCTACAGCCTGGCCTTATCCCCAGCAGCTGGAGCCAGAGCTGGCTTTGGCCACGGGCACCTCAGCCCAACGTCCAAGGATTTTAATTAGGGTGTGCAGATCACTGCAGCTTTGGGACAAGCCAAAGGAGAACTCTTTTAATTTTATTTCTGAGGCCAAAAAGACCGGTCCTGTTCTGCCCGAATTCTGCAATGAAAACAAGGTTTAACCAGCAGTTGTGCTGCTATGTGGAGATCTCATGCACTTATGTGGTTTTTCTCCATATCTGTGAGAAAAATGGGTTACATCATAGAGGAAAGATAATATGATGACCACGGCTCTCTAGATCATCCACCTGATGCCCTGGTCACGGTGACTGCCGAGGTACCCGTACAGCTGGTCTGCAACCAAGGACGGGAAGAAATTCACTTCAGCTCATTGCAGAAACCAACGTAGCTTAACAACAGGCTGGCTTTCCAGTACAGCTGTCCTGTCCCCTGTCCCTCAGTGACGTGTGGCCACCTCCCTAATGAGAGGGACTCTCCTGGTTCCTTGACCTCTGCTCTGTCCATCACAAAGGCAGACACGGAGAGGGTTATCCCACTCGCTGCTCCGGCCATCCCTCACACAGCAAAGCACATTTTCATACTGAATCAAACTTCATCCCACTGGCTGCTGAAATTTCAGTCATTTGTCTATTTTAGGAAAACAGTCATTAGCTCAGAGCACTGTTTCTCAAGCCTGTGTGAAGGTCTTCATTCACTTTGCCTTTATTTTTAAGTCCTTGTTCAGTTTTTTGCAGCACTTTTACAACTTTTTTTTGGTGGGTTTTGTTTTGGTTTTTTTGTGGGTTTTTTTTTTTAATTCAGGTAGATTTAGCTCAGAAGCATTTCTCTTCCAGTTTCTTAACTTCATAGATGTCAGAAATTTTTCTTATCTATGAACTGCTCTAAAGTGTTGGTGACTCCCAGGCACATTTCCACAGGCAGGTGCAAACAGTGCTGAGCCTGCCAACTTGAAGCTGGTAAAATATAAGCCAGCCACGTGGGAAACAGCACGGAGTCAGAGCTAAATAGCTCTCTTCTAAAAACTAATTGCTTCATAAAACACCTTTGAAAGGTTGTTTGAGGTTTCTGTTTGCACTTGTTAGGAAAGTGCTGCCCTCTGCTCACCGCTTCAAGCCCAAGCTGGGTTATCAGAAGAAATACCAGCATAGATTTTACTGGCGAAGCCGGCCCCGGCTTGACATCGCCAAAATTTCCCTGGGAGAAGAATGGCCTCAGTCAAGGCAGGACCAGAAACTTGGCTTTCAGGACAGGAAACCAGTAAGACAAAGTTGCCCAAAAGGCAGCGCTGCAGGAAACACCAGGGGCCAGCGGAGGGGCAGCGCTGGCTTCCAGGAGGCCAAAACCTGAAGCTGTCCCCAGGGGGCAAAAAAGGCAGCGACTGCCTGTCAGACAACCTGCTTAGCGAAGGTTAAACTCATTGGAAGAAGATGCCTTTGATGATTTAAAACTACCACCATTCCCCTGCAGGAATATTATCACAGGATTCATTATTGGAATCTATCAGACACAGCAGATTATTGTGATCCACGAAATTATCAGTAAAGCCATTATTAAAATTACTAGTAATGCTAAGTCCTAATTTGATTTACACATTTCATTGGAGTTTAGAGTAACTCCTGTTTTTTAATCCATATTAGGATGGGTCCTTTTTTTGAAGATGATTTTTTTAAGCATAGAACTTGTGTGTAGCATTTTTATGTAAATACGAATGATAGCTTGTCAATAATAGTCACTGTAAATTAAAACAATACTGGAAGTATAAAAAATTATTTCTCTTACTTTCCTCTATAATTTTAGGATTTACAACATATTGAAGTTTTAGAGATTATATGTGAGTGTGATATATATAATATATATATTTACCTTTTTTTTCTTTTCTATTTTTCTATGTGTTTCTTGAAGGCGGGGAATATCTGAATCTGAGGATGAGTCTACCAGAGATGAAGCAGACACTCTCTGTATTTTGCTATTGCTCTATTCCTATCTCAGACTC